TTCAAATCAAATGAGGCAAAATCAAAGAGATACACCAGCTGTTACCCTGCATAACCTAAAGCATAATAGTAACATCACTATGGTTTACTTTTTAGGAGAAATTATTTGGATTTAATAAAAATGACATATTCAAAACCAAGCTGACAAGCAATTTAGTATATTAAATGATAAATTACTAAGAAACACAATTTTTACTTCAATATAACTGTGACAGCCACATAATTCTATCCCCTGGTGTTTTGATGAGTCAAGTCAAAAGGAGCCAAAGTTTATAAAGCAAAATATAAAGTATGTAATTAAAGTACTATCACAGGAACAATTTTTAAATGATTTTAATTTAATTTAAAAATTATTTTAATCTAAAATAATTTTAAGTGTTTTTCAACAGGCAAATATATACAAATGGGTACGGTACAATAAATGGAATTGGGTCATTTACTGAGCCATATAAAATACATTTAAAATATAAAATCAATTCATTTTCTTCTAGTACCAATTACCTATGATGGTTTTGAAATATAAACATGTAGCAACGTGTAATATATTTTTAATATTGGTTTTCATTAATGTCTCTTGATCTAAGCTAAATGGTAATGATGAAAAATAGGCCATTCGCTTAAAAGCAAAACTCTTATTAAATCTAAAATATTATGGCACAAAATCAAACCATAAAAAGAACCATATTATGTTACTCCCCTTGAAAAATAATGAAAGTTTCCACATAGTACAAGTGAAAATGAGACACTCAAATTTACTCAGGCAAAGAGAAGACAGGTTCTGTAAAATTAAATCCCTTTCTAGTACCTTGACTATAATCCTAACAAGTCACTACATTATTTCAATTAGCAGAATAATTTTTTAAGGTAAAAATAAGTACAATTTATTTTGTCATTGTTGCTAAAATTTCTTGTCAAATCAGACTTTGAGTTGAAAGGCCTAAGTAATTCTAGCCTATCTTAAACTGTAACTTTATTTTAAACTTCCGTGTTTTATTCCAGTAGAATTTTAAGTATACACTGTGTGCATTCCTCAGGTCCAGTCATATTAAATTCTGATGTTAAGCAGAAAGGGAAAACCATGTGCAACTAGATTAATTTATCTCAAGGGAAAAGAGCACATTAATAATTGAGATAATGTTTTCATAAATGTTGGAATCAAATGTGCCTTTTCACTTCTTTATTAGAAAACACATTAGGATAATATTATCTCACTCTCATCAATAAGACCTAATTGCTGAGAAAGGCTATGTTTTCTTTGCAAAACATTCAGAAAGATTTTTCCCATTACGTCCAAAGAGCTAGAAATATATCATACATCCAAGTCTTCTTGGAATAAATGTATGTAAGCAAGGCAAGTGATTATTGAATCCACTCTGTAATGTTTTTGTTTTAAACTATCTGAATTCATTTTTTTTTGTAGGACACATTAAAATTCTGATTCAAAAAGAAATTGACCAAAAAGAAACTAATAATTTCACTTTTGGCTTATTAATCTCCTTAAACTACAAAACAATTACTTTTGCTTATTGCTAAAAAAAAACTCTTAAAACTTCTCATAAACACCCAAAAGAGTCAAAACACATTAAAGGTAACAGAATGACATTTAGCTTTCTTTAAATTGTTTCATATTTAAGAACCAGGATTATATACAAAGAAAATATTACTAAAACATGAAAGCACACTTATAAACCAAACAAGCTCTTCATAGCTGATGTATGTTAAATATTAAAAAGTCATTTTTCTACAAAGAAAACATAGCTTTTAATTATTAAACAAAAGGAATAGCTAAGGTGAATCTGATTTTTTTCTGTAATAAGCCTTCATGTGTATAATAAAGTACAACCATACTAAAAACAATGAACTGTAAACTGAAACAAAAATCCATCATCTACTTGGAAACAGTGACGGGAAAAGATTAGCAATCCATTTATTGTACTAAAATAAAGATAAGTAACCCTGGTAAGATCCATCAGGACTTGAGTATTGAACTCTAAATATAAAGACATTTCTTCATCAGCAAGTGACTCGAAAAAAAAAATGTGAAGAAGAAAAACGATTCCAGTTGACTTTTAAAATAAAATACTCATGATTCAACTGCTTCTAATTTTTTTTAAAGATCTGCTTTATGTCAATCTGATATTCTGGAAGATATCTAAAAGAGTATGTTTTTAAAATGGATAATTTTTACATGAGTCATTAAATAATTATTGCCAAAAGTTTCCTATACACCCACAGTGTATTCCAATTACTGATTCCTTCTAATAAAAATAATAAAATGATTTAAAATTTTTTCACAATTTAGGTTTGAAAGAATAAAATTTAAGGAACAATCCAACATTTAGAATCTTCAATTATAAATTTAACTTAATTCAAATAGTCACATTCCATAAAAATAATAAATCATAATGCTTAAAAGTAAACTCATATTTCATATCTTAAAAATAAGTACACTAATAAAAACTGAAACCTATTAAAGTGTTTTATCTTATGAATGGACATCGACTCTAAGTTACCTGGCCCCAGTCAGTTACATTTTATACGATCTCTCAGGAGACTGATCCATTTTACTATCCTTTCAATCTCCTAAATGTATGTTATTCCAACTGTTCTTACAGATGATAAAAAACAAAGAGACTGTCTTGAATTAGGAGAAGGGACCTGTAGATCACTGAAGCATACACCCAGCAACTTATTTTCATAACACAGAACTAATTCCATGTTCCACCCCCTCCCCCACAACACACTCAACTCACATACACAAACAACAGGTAAAACTTACTTTATGTCTAATGAAGTATCAGCAACAATAGCAAACACTCATTAAATTCCCCAGTCCCTTACTACAACAGAAGTTAAACTTCATTAAGTACAAGTAAAGATATAAAATAAAGGCTCCATGTTTTTAGTGTTAATATGTAGCATTCATATTCTGTATGTGTAGTGGTCTCCTGACGACATCTCAATCATCCAAAGCCATTTTGGGGGGGGGGACGACCCATGATAAACAATAGGATTTTCTTCACGTTTATGGCTTTGTCCCCTAGCACTCTAACCTCAGGTCATCACAGGGCAATAGTGTTCAGGTTTAACAGTTTCAGATAGAGCAAATCTGTACCACTGAACAATTGCTTTAATATTTCCTCAGAAAAGTATTGGCAGATCTTTAACTGTATGGTGTTAGACTTCCTAATAATACCACTGGAACATGAAAACTGCCTAGAAGTGTTTTCTAAACTTTAAACCACATTGGAGGTTACAACTAATTAGTCAGAAACAAAAACCAACTGGGAAATATTTCAAAACCAGACGCTTTGACTATGTCTCACTTGTCATTTTTTTCTATCTGAAAGCTCTAACTTGTAACCTGTCTCTATGTACCAAGCCATTTTCTCCTGCCCTCTTTTCCTATAAAAATGTGTTTAAAAAAGGAAAAGGAAACTTTTGGTAAAATAAGTATGCCCAACATCTTTTTTCCTCACTCAAGACTCCGTTCTAGAAAGACTAAAAATGTATAATTTTCCAACAATAGTTTTGGAGTGAAATGGAATCTGGGAGCCAGGCACAGGGCACCAGCGATAACCGTAGGATACGTAGCCCACACATACCCGGTAGGGTACGCAGCCCACCTGCCCCTTGTAGTCATCTTGGGCTGTTCAGCTGTGAGCTCATACACTTAGCTCCTCCCCCATCAAAGGAGGCTTTGCAGACACAGGCCTCCATACCCCACTGTCCATAGATAGTCACATAAAGGTTCTGGAGACCTGGTCTGTTTTTCACAACACAGTATCTCCAGGGCCTAACATAGTGCTGGGCAGAATGAGTGCTTGGCAAAAACAGGAGTGGACTATTGAGTCCCATGAGTTTTAGTTAGTGAATATGAGGCAGCTCACAGTGAAAATGATCATCTTGACAGGCCACTGAGCCAAGTGTGAGGGGCAAGCTGCTGCAGAGATGAGCCATTAGTGCAGCCCTGAGGTCCATGCCAACTTGGCTGCTGGCATTTCAGAAACCTTCCTTCCTGGCTATTCCCGCTCCATGGTATTGCCCAGCCTCGGTCAGGTTTACATATTGCCCTTAGAGGTAAGACCTCCAGGATCTTGTATTTCATAAATAACTTCATAAGTCGGAGATAGCTAACGAGTGGGGGAATTACCTACTGGCTTAACGGTCTGTCTTTTCCAGAGTGGATCTCAATAATCAACCATGAAGTTTGGGAGAGAGCTCAGGTTAACATTTTTCAAAGAGGTGGTTTATTTTTAAATAATAGTGTCAGCTAAGATTGTGTTATTGAAGCATTTTCATTAATTGGATTATACCAAAGTGCTCAAAGTTTTCCTGTTTTGGTTTTCTGTCTTCTTGAAGAGTGCCTTGATGTACCGCAAAGTACAACAGAGAACCAGAATTTATGATTTCTGAGTCACAACACTATAATTTGCTTACTGCAGGAATTTTGAAAGTTATGAACAAAACATGTTGCAGTCTCTCAGGTTCAGTGTTTACAAAATTGTTTTTATCTGACAAAACGAGCCTGCCTCTCTTTCCCCCTATTTTTGCTTATGTTCCTTCTTGCCCAGTGCACACAAACATATTGGAAGAGCTTAAAACGGGACACAAAGTCCACCTAGCTCACACCCTTAAGGCCCAGGCGCCTCTGCTCCATCCCCTCAGCTGGTTTCTCTTTTTCTCAAGATCCCTGGAAATAAAAGATCAAATCTATTCCAGCTGGAACAGAGGGTCCTTAAGGTGATTCCACTTTCAAAAACCTGCAGACCCTGTCTTCCTGGCTGGGTTGCTGTTGCGTCAGGTGGGGCTCTGCACCCCTTTAATACAGGCGGTGCAGACACCGGTATTAGCATGACCCGAGAAATCTTTTCTCCCCTACTGCTCTCTAGGAAACGATGGAGGCTCGCTCTCCCCGAAGTTGCCACCCTCCAACAGCCAGGCTCTTCGCCGGCCAAAGCTCTGGCTCGGGGGCAAGGTGCTCGGCGGCGGGCAACTTACCTCCCAGAGATGCTGCGTGTTTCTTACGGCGCCGGCCTGCACTTTCTCTGGGGGCAGGAGTACGCCCTGGAAGGGCCCAATCCAGGTGCCCTGCTGGATCCTCTGCGCCGCGCAAATGCCGTATGCCAAGCCGGGCACGGTGCTCGTGCACAGGCACACCTCCCGCGGCAGGTCTCGCAGCCACTCCGGCAGCTCCGGCGGGGGCGCGGCGGCCGCGGCGCTACCGGTGCTCACCAGCCGGCGCAGCGAGTGCAGCGGCCCGTGCATGGGGCACTCTCCGTGGCGGTTGTCTGCGCACATATCGCAACCTGCCGGAGACACGCGGGAGGGAGGGGAGGAAAAGGTTAACTCCGCAGCTCCGGTGGCCCATCCTCGGGAAAACCCCCAAGACAGCAGCATCCCCGCCCCCGGTCAGTCACCTGCAAAGGAGGTGTCGCCGCGAGGGCGCTGAGGCTACTGGGAGTAGGAGGAGAGGTGAACCCCAACCGCTCCCTTGGAGTTCGCTGCACCCAAACGCGCCTGGTAGAAGGTCGGGACCCGGGAGCCCCCAAAAGCCTGGGTACGGATGACGCTGTAGTCTCCGCTGAACCAACGGCTCGAGGCTTCTCTTCCCAGTTTCTCTCTCTCCCTCTTCCCTTTGCCTCTAGTTCCCTCTGATCTTCTCCCCTGTTCCCGCGGATTCTCTATCGGGTGTTTCAAAGGGCGTTTGTCGTTGTACCATGAAGAAAGCCCGTCTCTTGCCAACCTGATTATCTTGGAGAGTTTCTGCATTGGTTGCTTGGATATATTTGGGCTGCCTCTTTTTATAATTATAGAAGTTACTTTAAAAATCACCAGAGCAGGTGGGCGATCTGTCTGTTGGGGAGCGCCATTCACACTCCTCTGGACCCACGCGCCTGAGAGGCCCCAGGGCCCCAACCCGAAGGCAGAGCCGGAGCCCCAGACACGCCACCCAGGGAGCCCCGGGCGTCCCGACAGTGCCCGCTCTGGGCAGTTCAGCCAGGTGGGGACTGATGGGAAAGCGGGGGCTGTTCTGGGGGTTTAGGACTGTCTATGTTTTCGTGCCGGCTCTTCCCAGATGCCAAAAAGAAACGAACAGCAAATTTAATGATCGGAGTAACGGCTCTTTAATGATCAGGATAATGGTTCACTGGAGAGGGCCCCAACTCCTGCCTAGGCCGTGGATTCCCCAGGCTAAATGCTATCATCTTGCATTATAAAGTGAGAGTTGTGAAGCTGCCTCTCTCCGACGTTCCCCAGAGCATCCAGAGCTCGAAGGGACCCCCCCACCCCCTCCCGGCTGGGCTGTAGAAACCCGGTGTCCTCCGACTCAAACTCGAGGTTAGAGGCCAGACGGCCGCGGGAAGCAGGGCCTGGGCGACCGCGCTGTCGGATCGCAGCGCCCTCCGGGTTATTAATGGGCCTGGCGGAGCCGCTGCGTCTGCGCTCGGGCCCGGCAAACCTGCTTGGGGAAGACAGCCTCGGCGCCCGCCGGCGCAACCTGGCCTCCCTGGCCCAACCTCCTGGGGAGCAGTGGCGCCCCGGAGCAACGGAGCTCTGTGGCACCGGGCCTGATAGAGAGCAAGTCCCGACAGGGGGAGATGGCCAGAGCTGGGCAGGGGCGGACGCGCCGGGCCAGTGCTGGGTGGGGGTCGCCCTTGGGGCCTCCCTGTGCCCAGCCTTGGTCAAGCCAGTCCTGGTGGATCTCCCAGGGTGCAGCCTCTTCATGCTGAAACACACAAAATGCCCAAGGAACTTGTGACAAAGTGAGTTACTGAAGAATCTTAAAGGAACGCCTAATCAAAACACACAGCATTATGAACAAACCCTCTTTTTGCCATTTGCTTCACAGTCAGCTCAGGGTTGACCATGTGAGCATCCTGTCTCAGGGAAGGGCTCCAGCCGGCAGCGCCTCTTCTGGGTCAGCCACTCCTCATGCCTCCCAGGAGAGCTCAGGGAATCAGGGGGCCTTCTGACTGCAGCTTCTTGGAGGCGTCCCCAGGCCTCTCAAGTGAAAAGCAGCAACCTGTTTCTGCAGGTAGTGAAGTGTCTATGCCTCTGGACCTTCATCCCACAAAGCCCCCTCTTCCAGCAACACAAACTAATGTAAAAACTGTGCCTGACTCTGCTTTTGACCTTAGGGCATAGATGGAATGTATTCTCACCCTTTTCTACACGTCAAGTCAACCCTTCCAGAACACACACAATTCACACACCCTCTCAAGCTTCTGATTGTGAAAATAAAAACTTCAAGATAAGCAGGGAATGGAAAGAAAGACAAAAACTCATAATTACCCAGCGCAAATTATGTGCCAGGCATCTATCTTGACCCAATCACCGTATTATCTAAGGGTCATGATTCCCATTTTGCAGGTGATGTGACTGAGGCTCCATGAACAATGTAACTTGACCATGGACCAGAAATCAGAAGTTGGTAGAGAAAGATTCACAGTCACATTTGCCTGACTCCAAAGCCTCCAACTCAAGAGATCCAGAAAGACTAGGAAGAGCTGGGAATTATTTATATCCATCATAACTCAATCAAAAGAATTGAAATATTTCACTGAAGTCACTATTTGGGGGCCACAAAAATTGTTACAGCATGGCTGAACTACAGAGTTTTCTCTTGTTCTTTCCCACACTCTTGACTTGGGGGTTAAAGTAAGAGAATAAATTTGAAAGTAAATAGATAATGCCCATAATTTTGAATTATAGTGCCTTTCAGCACCTTAGCAAAAATAGCTTACAACAAATGACAATAAGCAAAGGCAATATGCCCATAAAAATAAATCACCCCAGGTTTTTGATTAACTGACTGTCCCTTTCTGGTTGGCTCAATAAAACAAAGGGTGAGAAGCAAAAGCAGTTCAGTATTCACTTCCCTAACAGTACATACCAGAGATTCTGTCAAGTTTCAACATTTCCATAACATGGAACGTCACCCCAACTATATCAGGAATAAAATAAGGAACAAAAGTACCAACCTCAGCCACCACCCCCACAGCCAGCAAGCACATTTTTGGTATTTGTTATTAATGATAACACTATGGCTAGGCCTTTCTCTAAGAAGTTCTCTAAAGTTCTCTTCAACTTGTTTCATTTCTCTCCACAAGATATTGAAAAAACCTAGCGGCAGAGTGAAAAGTTGAGGTTTTCCCAATATTTAGAAGACTACATGCATATTAGGTCCACAGCAGAGTAGGCAAAGCCAATCTGCTTTAATTAGTCCACCCAACATGAATCTTCCTAATTTATAAACCACTTTGTGCTATATCAAAATACTCTGTCAGAAAAGTTGACCAATTACATCAAAATACATGTTATATCCTAACATTACTGTTTTTTAATACACAAAGCTATGCCACTGAAACCATTTGGCTTCTGAAATATGTCTTGGAGTTCCATAGAAGCTTGAGGATATTTAAAACAAGTAACTGATTACTTGGGGTTGACAAATGTGGCACAAGTAGACAAACATCCTAGCAGAGTGTTTTCTAGACAGCAAGCCATAAACACCTACATGAAAAGGTTTGAGGGAGAGTGGGCTAGATGCCCAAACTACACACACATATATATAATACATATATTACACAGAGCATTGCATGCCAAGCAATACATAATACAAGTCTATTTGTATTCATAAAGAAGAGGCAAATAAATATTCCTACTTTCCCTTAAAATCAGGGTAAGTTTTTATACAAGTTCATAATTATTATTCAAAAAAGGGTTTTCTGTATCTGTGAGAAATATGATATTATCCAAGCAAGCGAGATACTTTGAAATGCTATTTTAGCAGCAGGGCATATAAGAAAATCTGGTCCCTTTTCTATCATGAATAAATCTGCTGATGTCCCTGTTTATGGGTCCCTTAATAAGGGGAGGAGGAATCATTAAGTTATAGACTCAGTCGCCTACTACTTCAGTAGGCCAGGCCAAGCAGAGTGAAGAGCAGACTTTCACTCTTCATTTCATAGCTTTATATTGTTTGAATGTTTGTACAAGTGCATGTATTAATTTTGTAATTGAAAACAGATCTATTTTAAGAAAAAGGGGACAAAACAGGCCATGGTGGGGTTTTTGTTTGTTTGTTTTGTTTTGTTTTTTTCCCTTCCTGGTATTTTCGTTAGTCCATCTAGGAAAGGTGAAATATAAACCGTTTCAGGGCGGTTTTGGTGTCCGGAGAGACCAACAGCTATGTGCGAGCACAGGCGGAGCTTGGACGCACGGGAAGCACCAGGCTCCAGCGTGCCTCCCCCAGCCGTCGCCAGCCCTCTCTGTCTTCTGGGAAGGGAACCAAGGAGCAGCTGAAAAAGCCTGCCTCCCTGCCTAGGCAGAGGTAACCGCAGGGCTATAAATCCCCCCCAGCCACCCCTGAGGTCGCAACCCTCAGTCTCGCAGGCCGAGCCCGGCAAGGCTAGGGCCCATCGATCGCTGCCCACTGACGCTGCCCCAGGAGTGCCGCCTGCTGGCAGCGCGTCCTGTGCTCCGTGCATGGGCAACAGACGTATGGGCTGCTGCATGGATGGGGGCTGGCCGTTGGGGCAGAGGGCAGGCAGAGCTAGATAGCTAGGAACCTCCGGCAACCAGGGTTCACACCCCCACCCCACCCCCGACGCCCTTGCCCACGCCCCGCTCTCTTGCTTCAGCCAGCACTTCCCCCTAGTCCTTCCGGCGCTACTGGCTGGAAGGGGTGGCGAAACAGTGACCAGGCAGGCTGCCGGTTGGAGGCCCCCCAACGCAGTCTGCATTTTGAAGGCCTGACCCCCTTCCTGCCAGCATAGGGATTTCTTGCAAGGCCAAATGTGGCCCCCGCCACAGAAATCCGAAGACTCCCACTACGCCTCACCACCCACCAGGCCTTCTCTTTCCACTTTGCAGGGGTCTTCTAGGCTCCTCCGATAGGGTCTAGAAGCAGATGCAGACGTGGATGACTTAGCCCAGACACCGGGAAAGGGAGCCGATTGCGGTCGCGGCCCACCGAAGGTCCAGCTGGTGCAAAACCTTCTAGGGCTTTCCCTAGGCGAGTTTAAAGCTCCTGGTCAGTCTCAGAGGCGTGGGTTGTTCATACTCGTAGTGGCTGCCGGCTGGACCCCGGGGGGCCAAGGAGAAGAGACAAAAGAGGGAGAAAATAAAGAGGAAGGGAGGAAATGAGTATTTTATTTGCCTCCTGATGACTGTATTAAAAAATTAAATGGGAGTGCCTGCGTGTGCGGGTGAGAGAATATTGCATGGAGATAAACCTTGCCGGGCCTGCCCCTGCGAAGCCGCCATATACAATACAATGCAGAGATGATGAATAGGAGGCCCAAGAGAGATCGAAGCGGGTCTGGGCTGGCTCCACTCGCTCCTACAAAACTATAGGGCAATTAATTGTGGCTTGTCCCCTCATCCTTCATCTCCTGGTGGCACATATCGATGGAGATTACTGCTGATGGACCATTTTATCACCTTAAATAAACAGTCGCCACCTCTTCTAACCTCAATCTAATATATGGCTCTATGTTCAGTTTCAGGGCGCTAGATAACGAATGATGTAAAATAACTAAATCATGTGTGTTATGGGATGAGGCTGGGCCTGCACACAAAAAGAGAAAAATAGAACAACACGAAAGCCCACACACTGACGCCCAGCCTCCCACCCACCAGGGACCAGGTCTGAAGTTGGAGTCACTAGCTGGCCACTGGCAGCTGGGTGTGCCTCCGTGGCAGGAAAGCCTGCTGGTGGGTGACTGGGCCCGGGAGCTTCCCAAACAGGACTTGTGTTTTCCAATTGGGTGAGAAGAGAGTACAGAATGTCAGAAAATATTCACTCTCCTTTATCTTTTTCAAAATAGTGCTGGGCCTAGATTGTTTTCCTTCCCTTGGCCACCCTCCCCAAACTCTTGGAAAGGGTGGTGCTACCAATGGGAATGCCTCGGGGCCCTTGCTGTTTCTAGTGCTCTTGCGCAGAGCTCCCCTAATCCAGGAGGACGCAGACACCTTCAGCTGGGCAATTTGCAAAATGTCCGGACACCCGGCAGAGAGACTGGGTGGGGGCTTAGTTCTAATCTGTGTCCAGGTACAGGGCAGGAAGAGCTTCACCAAAAGGTATGAAAATCTAATTGGCTCAACCTTTTGGGTACAATCACAAATGCCAGGCATGCCCATGGCCCCTGCTTACTACCTTCCCAAAGTAGTGACAGTGTCTCAAACAACACACCAAAACCCAGAAGGGGCCACTGCCACAGAGACCGGGGAATCAATGGCTTCAGGCAACCCAGCAACAATGAGGGCAGTAATACAACAAGAAAAAGAAATGGCCCCATCCCCCAATTATATTACACACTGCCCCCACCCCCGACTTTAAAAAGATGAAAGAAGAGAGAGCTAAACACTCAGAGCTTCAGTGGAAAGTGTACTTCAATCATAGACTAAATTGAACACATGGAGTTAGATAACAGAAATACTGTAACGGAAACAGCTCACTCAGCTAGCTTATATGGTTTCTGCTGTTTTAAAATCTTTTCTTGGGAAAGAGAGCTACAAGACCTTTTGCTATGGCATTTGCCATAGATGCCAATAAAGTTTCAAGGTAAGACTACTGTTACTGATTCACAAGTGTTACTGGGTTGCTGATCCTAAGCAAAAAGTTACTCTTGTGTAGGGAATAGAAAGTGAGGAGGCCCCATTCTCTGCCTTGTAGAAAAAAGAGAAAATGACTCAATACTAAGTAACAAAATGAAACAATGCTAATGGTCTCTTCACAGAGTTCTTTTAAAGGAAGATAGCAAAAGACTGAAAGGAAAACTAGGGAAATCTACATGTCTTAAAATAATAGGTGCTTCCCTTCTGCCTGCTTCTCACCACCCCTCCCCCTGGAAAAATACAACCTGGGAAGGGGGAGAGCTCTGCCTAGGGAAACAGTGTCCCATGCTTTTCTGACTTCTTCTGAGTCCTAGTTGGATTAAACTCAATGGCTCCATACTTCATCTTTGTAAAATATATCCCAGAGTTTCAAATGAGCGTCTGTGCTTGCTGAGAGAAGTTCCTGGAAGAATGGGAGACGTGGTCCCTCAGCATTACACAGAACTACCCCTGCTTTCTATTTTCTTTCTCAATTGCCCTTTAATTAGCGAGCAACTAAAGTGTAACTCTAATAGGACAATATGACTTCCTTTCCCCTCTGTCTTTTCTCCTGCACTTTACATATTGAAGTAATCAATTGGACTCAAAAAGAGACACCAAAAAAACTAACATGATAGAAATAATTTAAATAAATCATACTTCATTTCCTCTAGCCAGAGGAAAAAAGTTACCTAGGCAATAAACTGGTTCAAAGAGCTATATACTAATTAGGAGTCTATCCTAATTCTTTCTCTGATCAGTCTAGGGTTTTCTCCGGTGAGAATATATTGAATTTCAAGACTGTACTGTAAACAGCACAGGAATCTCAACACACAGCCCGGGGTTCGGGGGGCACTATTGGTGGCGTTTCCAGCACTGGTTTCATTCAGAAGAGAAACTGCAAGTTTGATAAAACACTCTCATCCCACAGTGACTATACTTACATTTAGTAAGAAATGTCTTTTTTCAAAGCATTTATCTTTTTTATTTCACGTTTTAAAGAACTGCTTTGAAAGCAGCATATTCAAGAAATTCAGTAGGACATAAGTATTTTTTGAAATCCATTAAGAGAATATAATTTTTAAAACTTTTCTGAAGCTCTGAAATACAAGCGACTTCTCAATTGCCAAATAAATTTGAGTGGAAACCTTCATTTTAATTAAACCAGTATTTACCGTCAGATTCTAGAAAGGAAAATAAGTAAATTTAACTGCTCTTTTTGTTAGTAATAATTATCCCTATTAGAACAATTATTTCCCATCATTATGAAAAGATTAAGACAACTTAACCACTAGGCTCATGCACAGTTTTTTCATCAAAGTAATGAATTTGGGAGTCCTTCAAAAAACTATAACCTGGAGATATTTTGCTTTTACAACGAATTAAAAAGTTCACAGAGTGGTAAACAAGCTGCAAGAAGAAACTTATTCAAAATAAAATAATAAGACATGTTTATGATCCTCACACAGAAACTAGATGAAGTAATGAGAGGAAGAAAATGGGGAGTGAATGATCTTACAAATCCTGTACTGCTTTCACCCTCTTTCAACCTGATTTAATGTTCTCTCCACAAGTTTCTGCAAGTGTAGTTAGCACTTAACCCAACACATCAGGTGTAAACATATCATAATTTTTTAAATTACCAAGTAGAATCGGATATAAAGCAATACATGTTCTTGGTCTTCATCGAGAGTCTTGCTTCAAAACCTTGGGATGACCGTTTGAAATTATGAATACAGGAATCAAAGCTGGAGGAGACCTAACGTTTAATTAGGCATTTGCTATTTATTTAGGGGACAAGGAGAAGAGACTTCTTAAACTAAATTATTGTCATCCAATTTTTTCAAATAACTAAACCATCAAGCATGGCTACAGATTGCGAACGTTTACAGAGTCAAGGGTGCAAGGAGAATGTGGGATCCGCAGGGAACAACCCTATCCTGAACATGGAAAATTTTTCACTAAGTAACTGGCTCTCTCTCTCTCTCTATCTCTCTTTCTCTCCCTCTCCCTCTCTTCCAAATAAATGGTAGACCTAAGAGTAATCCCTGCCTGCAGGGAGAAACTAACCCAATTATCAACCAAGACTCTTACTCCCGCGAGGCCGGGCTAGCCAGCGGCTCCCGGCCGTTCCCCCAGACAACCCCGCAGCCCGAAACTGAACTGACGCAGTTAACTCCAGAAGTAAGGTAGAGACGAGGAACAAGCCCTGGAATCCACGTTCCCCAGAAATTCTGAGCCCCTATTTGTCCGTGCTCTGGCTAGGCCGGTCCTCTCTCGGGACTCTCCATCGAGCGCTAAGTAGCCGACCTTCCTGGGGCGCTGTCCCGCGGGAGCGCGGAGATGCGAAAGCCCCGGCCTGCGAGCGACTCAGGTCCTACATACTTGGGGCTGCGAAACAGAGGGTGAGGAGAGGCTACGAGGTAACCCCTAGGTGACACCCGGCCACCCCAATCGTTCTCCTTCCTTCTCTAACGCCGAAAACTTTTGTCACTGTGTTCTGGGTGGTGCGGGGCCCGCTGCCTGGACCAGTCCACCACCCGGGGTCCCTCTCGTCCGACCTGCCTCCCAGACGGGCGCGCGCCCTGGACGGCGCCAGCGCCACAGGAGAGAGCGCGCGGGCTGCGGCTACGTACGGTTGTTGGGGTCGCTGGTGTGCTGGTTGAGGGGGATGATCTCCATGCGCTGCTGGCCGTACAGGTAATAGTCCAGCTCCTCCGCGCTGCAGCGGAAGCGCGGGGCACCGCGGCCATCCCCACCGCTGCCGCACTTGGAGGGCCCCGGGACCGAGGCGGCGCCGAGACACAGGTCCTTGGGGGGCAGCGGCTCCGCGGCGACGGCGGCGGCCAGAGGCGCAAACACCGGGAGCTGTGCCACGGGCAAGGCCGAGAGACCCGCCAGCGCGGCGGCGGCAGCGGCACAGGAGGAGGCAGAGGAGGCCGAGGTGGAGGAGGAAGCCGGAGTGGAGGAGGAGGAGGAGGAGGAGAGCGAGGCGGGCCGCGGGCGCAGGCTGTCCGGCGGAGGCTCAGCGCGCTCAGGGGGTGGCGGCGGCGGCGGCTGGAGAGGCTGCGGCGCGCCCAGGGGACCCGCGGCACCACCGCCCTTGAGCGGGCCGCCGCCGCCGCCGTGAGGGAAGAGTTGCTGCCAGTGCTGCAGATAGGCTGGGTCCACTTTGAGGAAGGCCGAGCCGCCGGGGTCTCCAGGCTTCAGCATGTCCGACGCCTCGCGCTGGGGGCAGAGGGCAGAGAGGAGGGTGCGTGTGAGCCGGGCCCAGGCCCTGGTGCAAGAGGGACAGGCAGGACGGCCGGGGAAACCCTGGAGCGGGAGCCACAGCCTTTGGCTTTGCCAGCGGCAGCCCGGTTCAGCGGCTCCTTCCTTCCAACTCCTCTGGGGCGCAAAGTTTACTCTGAAGCCGCCGCGCCGCGCAGTAGGAGCTGTGTTCACGCCGCCTGGCCTCGCAGTCCAAAGCGCCAAGCTACCACCCTGCACGAAGCCCAGAGAAAAGGCGCTTCCCCACGGAACTGGGCTGCACGACGCAGCCCCCGCCCTCAGCCAGCGCCCGGAGCCGACCCCAGCCGGAGTGGCGCAGCCCCTGAGTCGCGCTGGCCGCCGGCGCTAGGAGGCGGGTCAGTCTCGCCCCCCGCCCCCAGCCCGGGACCTCCAGCCTCCTATCCTGTGGGCGCGAGACACTCAGCCCCAGAGGAGCATCGCCTTACCTGAAAAGTCGGAGCCGCCGGCGGCGGTGTGTGCGTACGTGTGTCTCTAGGAGTGTGCGGGAGCGTGGGCACCCCAGGTGCGCTACATGTCTCTGGCAGCGCAGGAGGAGAGGCTTAGAGATTCGGCTAGGGGTACGCAGGCCCGCGGAGGACGGGAAAGCAGTTCGGCCGAGAGCGCGGGGGCGCGGCAGGACCCGGGTGCGGGACAGGATAGCGGTCGGTTGTTCCGATTGCCCGCAGCTGCGTCCCGGCTCCTCGACTCCACTCTGGCAGCCTCCTGGCTGGACACGTGGGTTTTACGACAGCACAAAATACAGAGCGTGTGTGTGTGTGCGTGTGTGCGTGTGTGCGTGTGTGTGTGTGTGTGTGTGTGTGTGTGAGAGAGAGAGAGAGAGAGAGAGAGAGAAATGTGGGGGGTGGGGGGGATGCCAGAGGCAGGCCAGAAGAACCAAGGGGAGGGGAGAGGAAAGAAGGAAGTTCTAACTCGGCTGGATCCACAAACTGCCCGTGCGCCTCTCCTGCAGAAATATCTCCTTCGCCGTCCCACCCCCGACTTTTATTTTGGCGTGACGTCTCCCGCGCGCCTGTTGTCTCTTTCTGCCCATGATGTATCTTTTCTAGGTACTGTCTCGCTGCCCTGACCCAGAAAGCAGTGGAAACGTGGAAACCGGAATGCATCTCCACACAAGCTCCGGCGATCGAATCCGGTCGGGCGCGTACGGCTGGGCAAGAGGACCAAGTCCCGAGACCGGGTTTGCGCTTTTGCCCGGCTCAGTCCCCCCCGCCCCCCACCAGGAGTACTGCAGGGTGCCAGAGTCGAGTAGCCCATCACCCAACTTCTAACACGAATCTGAGGGTGGGGGAAGTGGGCAGGAGGAGGGAGTTGGGGGCGGGGTGGGTTGCGCCTGGAAGGAAAGAGTCCACTCAAGTCCACAGCAGAGGAGGCAAGCTTTGTCGAGCTGGGAGACAGGAGACCAAGGGTCTCTAAAGGGTGGCAGGTCCTGGCAGGGCTGGAGCCGGGCTCTGGGCTAGAAGGCGGCTGCAGGGGAGTCTCACACCACCCAGCACTTAGCCCACTCACTCTCCAGTTGTCTTCCTGCCGTACTCGCTGCTGCTGCTGCTTGTTGGCATCCAAGGCAAGTATCTCGAGTAACGCCCAGTAGTACAACTGTTCCGGGACACGGGTGAGGCTTGTCTGCCTTTGGGTGCCCGGGACTGCACCGCGGTGGGAGCGGGGGTCATGTATAGGTCTTTTGCCCCAAAACCTAGGATCCGAGGAGCAGGGTGGGAGTGCAAACCTACCACCACCTTGCCCACTACAGCTACTTGGGCCACGCCCGCCCTTCCCTGCACTGTCTCACTTCCACAAATTAGGCTCCTGCCTCCGCGCCCCGGATCTTCCAGGCAGTTGTAGTTTGCGGGGAGGGGGCGCGCAGACCTGATGTGTGCAACCCATCCTTTCAGGCGCGCTTTCTCCTCCTTGGAGTTCTCTCCACATCTCAAAGAGAAGAAATGGCATTTGTCTTTTCCCCCAACACACCAACTTATTTAGCACCCGCCTTTCTGAACAATTACTAGGCACACTTTCCTGATTTCTGCTTGTTCCTTTTTGTCTTCCCACCACTCATTTCTCCTGAGCCTGGGAAATACGCTGTTTAGACTTTGTCGTGGTCTCCCGCAAAATGCTTCAATGCTGTTTGGAACAGGGTTGGACTGAAAATGTTTTGACTGGCGTCGCTGTGACAAGCTCATCAGTCATCCCCGGATAGATTGATAGTACCCGAGTTTAAGGCAGACACCACGAGGGAAAACCCACGGTGCTGTGAACACCGAGGCGAACCGGGCAGGCTCCGCCGGCTTTGAACAACTTCATCGGAAGGAGAGGATGAAGTTCCAGGCCTGTTGCAATTAATCTCATCGCAGAACTGCCTAGCAGTGGCTGTCGGGCCAGGAGGGAAGGGGCAATCGTCTCATCTCCAGATTCAATGGTGAGAAAGGAAGAGACTCCTCTGTTCTCAGGGAAAGACCATCAACACCGGGGATAGGAGCCCAGACTCTGCCACAGCTCGGAGCTCTCTTGTCTCCGAGCAAGCCGGCTGCTTACGCGCACTCGGTCCCCAGTACTAGCTGTCCCCCAGACACTTGAAAATCTCAGAAATTGGAGACACTAGCGACAGCAACTGTTCCGGAGGCTTCATGACCCCATCCCCCCTCCCCGACACATACACTCTGGTAAGCCCCGGGGTCCTTCCTAATAAGATTAGCAGACCAGCTAGTGAGCGCTTTCCACATGCCAGGCACGGGTAGGCGCTTCAAGTACATTTAGTCTGCCCAGCAACCATGCGGAGAAGGCATTATCATTAACGCCAATTCTACAGATGGGGACACTGAAGCTCAGAAAGGTTAGTTACCTAAAGTCACGCCGCTAATGAGTGATGGAGACAGTGAGGCGCCAAGTGCGTTTTCCCGCTCACCCTAGCCAAACCTCTACCCCAACCGTCTGGACAGACGCCAGAGGGGTGTGGGGACAGCTTGGGGGGAGGTTTGTCTCCCCTTGCAGCCTGGGCCGAGGGAGAAAGGGATACTCTAGCGGAGCCTTCCTTCCCCACTCTGCGTGTGCGTGGTGTCCCAGACCCGCCCTTTTCGAGGACTCCCCAGCGGTCCCTGTCATTAGTGGGTCTCGGGTGACCAGTTCCCAAAAGCCTTAGGGAACTCGCGTGTAGGAGGTGGGCGAAAGTTTTAAGGGGCACTCCTATAAGGGCCAGGAGTCCAGATGCGCACGAATAAGGTCTCGAAGGGACTGTAGCGGGGCCCGAGCCTTCCCAGTATCTCCTCAGTGGGTCCACGACTCCGGGAGGGGCCCCTGCTCCGCCTGTGCCCTCCAAGAGCAGGGCCTGGCTGGAACGGAGGTCAGCGTGGTCCTTCCTCACCCGGCACTCCCGCGATCTGCCAAGGCCGCTTCCCATCCACCCAGCTGATCCTGGGCCCGCTTGGTCACTGCAGCCAGCCGCCCTGGCACCTCTCAGGTTTTTAGAAAGTGAGCCCACGGACCATCAGGATATGTACCCCTCAAATCTGCACCCCTCCACTTCTTGACTTAGAAGGAGACCGCAGAAACAAATCACTTCGACCACTTAGGAAGCGATCAAACCTTCATAAAAATCCATCGCTCCCAAATCAATGGATGAATATTTGCTGGGAATTTGTTCCGGAGGAATAAATAAGGAGCGTGGGTGTATTAAATGCAAACAGGGGCGGGGGGGGGGGGAGGACACGATGGTGTTTTTCTTCATTGATTAATGACCTCTAAAATAAAATAAGTGGAAAGAGTCTCTGGGATCGATAAATTAACTACCCAAATTCATTGTTTCCTAGAGCAATTTTTTTCCCGGAAAATTATCCTGAGGCGCCCACTGTACCCTTAGCTAGGAGAGAAGAAGGGAGTGGGAGGCCAGAGCAGGGAGGGAGTGACAGGAAGGGGCAGGAAAGCAAGAAGAGAATGCTGTCCAGGAGACCCTCTATCTGATTTCGTTTGACATACAATTTTCACGTTTGCCTTCCATATTAATTATTTTTTTCCTGATGGAGGATGGGAACAAATGGTCCGCTGCCTTTGACAGGACTCCAATAAAGAATTCAACAGCTCTCCTCTCCGCCCTCAGCACTCTGCTTCTAGGTTTAAGGTCATGGGTGGCTGAGTTAATAATTCATTAATATAGACATTTATTCAGAAGGGTTCTCTGAGATCCACCCTCCCAGCCTCCTCCCAGAGATTTATTTTCTTGGGAAATGGATTGGGGGGCAGGGGTGCTGGGCTGCAGGTGAAAGGAGGGAAGAAGGAGTAAAAAGAAAATGGAGAGTCTGGATATAGCTAGGAGGAATCTGTGTCACCCCAGCTTAGTGAACAGGTCCCTCTAGCCCTCTGCCACAAGCCTGGTTGAAAAATGTGGCATCCGGACTGCACAAGGACCCTGGCCTCCAGTCGTCCTTTTCCCTGCCTCTACCCCTGTTCATTGACACTTACTTGCAAAGCTCTGCTCCTCCATGCTTTTGGATCTGGCAAGAGCCATCGAACTGAGGACCTTGGAATGCAGGCAAAGGGGGAAATCTCTGGAAAGAGACTAAGCGCCCCCCACCTCCCAATTCCTAAAGGAGGAGCTTTGCAACTTGCCAGACCTGGGATCTAAAGGAAACTCCGCTCCTAAGGGCACAGGCAGCGTCTGGTGGACACTGTATCCCCTCAGAAAAGGACTGTGGGGGCATCGAAACAAAAATAAAACCAAAAAGTCCATATCCTCATGAAGTTTACACTGTAAGGGGGTGGAAACAAGAAGTGAACAATAAACAAGTAATTGTCAGATGGTAATAAGAGCTATGGAGAGCAATAAAGGATAAAAGGGACAGAGTGCTGTAGGTGGAGGGTGTTGCTATTATATAGTGGTCAAGGAACGCTGCTCATATAAGGTGGACTTAACGAAAGAGAATCCCATTTTTGTG